CTCTGGTGGCCCCGGCCCTGGCGTGCCCCCGGACGCACGGCTCCGCCCCCGGGCACCCGGCGCGAGTGTGGCCCCGCCCCCGGGTGCCCAGGAGCCCGTAAAGGTTGGGGACCACTGCAATACACTATAGTCAATAGAAAGACTCCCACTGAATATCAGTGGCAGTTAGATCCCCATAAGCATTTAGGCCCAGATCCTCAAAGATATTTAGGTACCTAACTCCCACTTATTTAATGGGTATTATACTTCTAAATACTTTTTGAGGATTTGAGCCTTGGATAATAATTGTATCTTTGCAGGGTCTAATGCTGCAAGGTGCTGAACACATTTTAATGCTATTAAGCACATAAAAGTTGAGGATGCTCGGTGGCTTGTAGCACCAGGTAGCGAAGGGTGGAAAAGTGTTAGCACTTAGCTTTGGTGCCCCATGCCTCAGATGAGTATCTGCACCTTGTAAGATGGAGCTGGCAGGATGAATGTGAAAGAGCTTAAGGTTTGTTAATTAGATGCATGGTCTAAATGTTATTGTTTGTTATATATAATACAGGAGCCACAGTATGTTAGAGTCTGCATATCCAGATAAGGAGTAGTCTAAGAAGACAGGAATAAAAATGTAGGTGGGATTTAGGGGAAGAGAGGAAAAGCATGGTTTGGTCTGGTGTTCCACGATTCTGGATGGGGTAGGGTAAAATGGGATTATTCTATTTGAAATAGGTTTTCCCACCATCTAGTGTGTTTGGTCCAACTCTCTGTAGCTCTGTATCTTTGATAGCATTTCTTAGATTCTCACAGGGGCTTCCGGCAGCCTGGGTTGTTACTTTGGGACACAGTATTACTAGGTTTGAGCCCCTACACTGAAAACACTTATGAGTAGTGTAATCTCATTGCTTTCATTGGGACTATTTACAAATAGGATACACTATCCCTAGGCATGATTGCAAGATTAGGTCTCGGGTTTGCATTTTTGTTGGGGAAGGGTAAAAAAATATGACTTTGAAAAAAACCTGGTGTGTATATTTATTTTTAATGGTTGAATGGTAATATCCTTACTCACCCAGAATAGTACACTACTCCATAAATTGTCCCATTGATTTCATTGGGATTACTCATGGCATTAGACACTGTTCAGCATTAATAAGAGCATCACAGTCTGACTTTAGGAAATCTGGTGCACAACTTTAATGTAGGATTTTCTATATTTCTTTTTAAGTGGTGATTGCTGAACATTGTTTACAGTGTGTAGGGCAGAGATTAGGAAAGAAGAAAAGGAAATTTCCTGAACTGCAACTGTGCAAAAGAGCGGTAGAGGTACTGAGCGTCCTTGACTCCCACTGAGGTCAGTGGGAGCCAACAGTGCTCAGCACTTCACAGGATTAGGTGCCTTTACAATTAACTTTTCCTTAGTTCTTTTCAGGCAACCTTTCTGCTTCATTTCAGTCTTTTTCTCTTGTGACTCCATTTTAATGTTACATATATTTAATTGTCAAATCATGTCTCATTCTATCTTCAAACAGAAGCTATTCTCAAGGCTTCATGACTTACTTTTAGGTGTTAGATGGTAAATTCAACCTATTGCTTTTCCTTGCTCACTATTGTAAATCAGAAATTGACCTGTCAAGGTATTTGACTAGATGCATAACCATGGATATCTATATTCATGTCTTTTCTAAGACAGGTAGTCCTATAAAGTGAAGCAAGCCCTTTTCATCCACTCTTATTTATTCACTTTTGAAATGCTAATTTTTTTAAAGGGGCTGTGGTATTGACTCTGTGCTGGGGGCATGATACTGCAGACCTTATTGATTCTAATGGGTCTGAGTAAGGTTTGCAAGGTTGGAGTGGGCACTTCTATTATAATCCCCTTTTCCAAATATATGCCCCTTTTCCAAATACATCGGTTTCACCCGCATTTTTTTTTTGCTTACTGTGACACCAGAAGAAAATTAATATGGAAAGTTACAAAAAATGCTTTTAAAACACTTGTGATTGCTAGGATTCTCAGTAAAATCATAGTTTTAAGAATCCCAGCTACACCATTTCCTATTTTACCACAAATGGAGTAACTTCCCTGCATTGATCAGTTTTTTACTATCCACAAAGGTTGCTTCCCATTTGCCCTAATATGAAAACTTAGTATGACAATGTAATAAATCAGCATGTGTTAAAGACATCATTCAAGAGCTAATCAATATTTAATTGATAGTAAGAGAACCCATCAAAATGTTCATGATTTTTCTTCTAACTGGATACTTCCCAGCTTTTCTTAAGAACTAGAAACTGGGCAAAAATATGCGAAAGCTCTTAGAATAAATCTCAGCATTCACATACCTGTGGAAGTGGATTGCACTGTTTTCCTCATCCATTCATAAGAGCTGTGCCTTTGACTGTGGGGAGAGATTTGCTCTGTGTTAATTGTACCTACAGGAGGTAAACCCCCAGATCCAGCAGGATTCAGGGAACTGTAATCAGTAGAGCTGTAAGAGACCTGCCCAGGAGACGAGCCATTGATTTGTGCAGCAGTAACTGTGCTGGAGGGTCCCGGGCCATAAGTATTCCAATCCTCCCTTTGCGTGCTGTAGTGAGTTCCCCAAGCTCCTGAAGACTGTCCTTGGTTGTCCATGCTTGGCACATGATGATATCCCATGTAATCTGAATAGGACGGAGTGGAGACAAAGTTTTGCACTGGTAGGTTGTTGTTGTTGTTGTTGCTGCACCTTACGGATCCTGGATACATGCTGGTTTCTTTATCCAAAAGATAACTCACATACATGATGCTTATAGCCTGGCTTTGTCTTGCCAGGACATTCTGCTCCTCACAGTGTTTGTTTGATCTCTTCCTCCCCTCCTCTTTTTCCCCCCTCTCTTTTCTAGCCTCAACTGGCTGTATAAATGACTCACGCTAGCCCTGATGTCTCTTTACTACACACGATTAACAATGGTGTTACCAGGTGCTGGTAGTAACAGTTTACTAAGGTCCTGCCTGATGTCACAGATAACTGCCTGCCCCAAAATTACATTTGCATTCAAATGAAGGGCTGACCATCCAGGCAGCCCCACCTTGCTGCTAGATCTGGTGCTTCCTTTCTCACAGATCTTTTATGTATCCATCCTGGTCCCATCCCCTTTTATGCACTCTGACCTGCCTTGGTCTTGAAGCCACGTTGCACACATAATTAATCTAATACTTTCTTAGAAAGCTCAAGAAATAAGCTGGTTGACCACTAAGTGTCTTTTAAAACATTTTCATGTGAGTTCACTGAAAAGCACAGGAAAATAGGGGTAAGGAAATGCTCGCCAGTATTGTTATTTGCTTCATGCCTATAGTATGCTTGGTATTATACACAACACAGGGGAAGACAGGTCCATACCATAAGGAGCTCACAAACAGAATTAGAGTTGAGGCTTGAAGGTTATGTCTACACTAGCATGCCTACAGGCGCACAGCTGTACCAGTGCAGCTGCACTGCTGTAAGATCTGTCTTGTAGCTTCTATGCCGATGAGAAAGAGCCCTCCTGTTGACATAATTAAACCACTCCCAATGAGAAGCCACTGACATAGTGCTGTGCTCACTCTCACTTGTGCTGACAATACTTGTATCACTCAGGAGTGTGTGTGGGGGGTGGAATGGGGGCAGTTCACACCCATGAGTGACGTAAGTTTTGCTGATATAAGTGGTAGTGTAGAAAGGGCCTAAGTTTTATTTGTCTAAAACCAGATATCAGTCAGTTAAATGGTTTTTGCTCTGGTAAAGAGCCTGAAAGTCAATGTAAAAAAAATCTCTCTTATGAAATCTAAGGGCTACATTGTACAGCACTTACTCAGAGGGCTTGCAGTTACATAAGTGGTCTCATTGACTTCATCTTTGTCTCAGGTTGGTGAGTACTACAAACCACAACAGTTCTATTTGTTCTAACCCTTATCATGTTGTTAAGGGCATATGCACAAAAACACAATGCAGCGGTAGGCGTTGACACACATAACTAGTCCCCTTGATGTCAGTGAGTCCACTCCTGGGTGTAGGTGCTTGCTGTTGAGAATAAAGATTGCATAATCACACCCAGAAATTTAACAGAAAGATAGAGGTGCACCAAATTCACCATCATTTCCACATAAGTTGTGATTCCTTATCTGGAATTTCTACAAATAAACCCTATTTCAGTGTTTTCTGGGCCAAATTCTGCTACCATTACACACTTTGAGTAGCACCTTACTCCAAAAGCATCAATGTAACAGAATCTGGTCCTTTATCTTTGAAAAAAAGAACTATATGAGCAGCTCAGATTTCATGAACAGCCTTACAATAACAAACCTATATGGAGCAAAATACAGGACTATGTAGCACATTTCTATTACAAACCTATATGGGTATGTCTACACTACAAAGTTAATTCGAACTAATGGATGTTAGTTCGAATTAACTTTGATAGGCGCTATACTAGCACTCCGCTAGTTCGAACTTAATTCGAACTAGCGGAGCGCTTAGTTCGAACTAGGTAAACCTCATTTCACGAGGACTAACGCCTAGTTCAAACTTACTAGTTCGAACTAAGGGCTGTGTAGCCGTTTAGTTCAAACTAGTGGGAGGTTAGCCCTTCCCAGCTTGCCCTGCTGGCCACTCTGGCCAATACCAGGCAAACTCTACTGCCCCCCTCCCGACCCCAGAGCCCTTAAAGGGGCAAGGGCTGGCTACAGTGTTTGTGCCAGTTGGAAGCCTGCCAGCACCATGCCAGCATACCCTGCACCTGACACCCCATGAGCCAGCCACCCGATGCCCCCCAGCCCTTCCCCTCTTCCCGGGACCAGCCTGGCGGCTCCCAGGAGCCTGCCCGGGGCCGCAAGAGGAGGGCGCCCGCGTGGTCTAGTGCGGAGATCGTGGACATCATCCAGGTTTGGGGGGAAGCCTCCAATGTCCACGATCTCCGCACTAGGCACAGGAAAGCGGCTGTCTAGAGCAGGATACGCGTCTCATCA